TTTTTGTCCCACACCCCATTATCCTTTTTGCCCCCACCTTTGAACGATCACCCCAGTGTTTTTTCACCCAAATTTCATATGAACCTTCCTCACTCCAACATCATTATCTCCACCACCTTAAACCACCACCTTCCACCATAAATTCACCACCTATATTTCAACCTGGACGCAAAAAAACTATAAAAAAAAAATAGAAGCTCGCATCTTTCAACTATTTTCAGGTCAGCAAAACAAAAGGCTGGTAACTTCAAGTGGCCTCAGTTAGAGTTTGGAGAATCTCGACCAGCAAAGAGCGAACCATCTTTGTCGGACAAGGATGAGCCATCTGTAATGCATTCAAATGACAAGCTATTAGCTGCAAATGCGAGCTCTTCTTCCTCACTTGGACGGGCCAACAGTGAAGACTTAAGATTGTCAAGTCAAACTGCTGATGAGATACAACAAGAACATGTAAATAAAAGCATGTCTCATGATCAACTGCTGTCTTTATCTGAAAACTTTGAAAAATTTAAAGCTGATAAAGAGGCGAAATTAGAAGAGTGTGGTTGGGAGAATAAGGAATTTGTGAAGTCTCATTTTCTTTTCGTTGTAGCTATTGCTCTATAAATCGTCAATTATTGGAATATTTTTGGTCCTACAATGGCATAGGCTCTATTAAATTAGGGATGAGAGAGAGATAGAAGGTGAGAGGGAGATGGGGCGGAAGGAAGAAGAAGAATAGGTTTGGGCTTTGGGAAAGGTGCTGGTGTGCTTAAAATTTAAAAAGGGTTTTTTCTTCTTTTCTTTAATGTATTTATTTGTTAATAACAAATATCAATTTTTTTTAGTTTTAATTACAAATTACACATGTCATTGTTTAATTGGTTCATTTGACACGTCATTGGCAAGTGTAACTCACGCATCTGGTCTGTTGTACTCGGATGTCTATTTGATACAGTTAATAGCCACTTGAAGTGTTTAGATGATAAAAGGGTCAGTTGAGGTGTCTGGCTGACCGTTGAGAACAACTTGAAGGGGCCGTTTATGTATTTTGCGAATAAATACAGAGAATCCACCAACAAGCTCAGAATCGAAACGTAACAGATCCACTGATTTATTTTAACATCTAAATCACCATTAAATAAAGGAGCTACGTTCTTATCTAATCAACAATCGAAAGAGCTACATCACGTGAGACGTAATATTCCGGGAAAAAGACATAAATACGTATGCACAAAAGGCAGGTCTACTGTGTGGTACAACAGTTATCACTTGTAGTGACTTCTGCAAATAGCACTTTATATTAAGAGGAAGTTCAATGCAACCAGGTAAAAAGTGAAACTGAAAATAAAACATTAACGTCAGCTAATTAAAAAGTAATTTTACAAAAGGATAATTTATGATGAGTTCTTAAAAATAAGGGGGAAAATCGTACACGTTAGTCCTGTAAGAACGCAGCAATAAACAAACGCAATTGCTTCTCATTTTAGTCACTACCAAAATGTCATTTTCAACGTACTAATGAAGAGCGATTCCAACCTCAGCATATTTAATATAGTTGATAAGGTCCGACCCGAAAAAACAGAAAATCTTACAACTTAATTGCACGTTAAGATGACTGTTTATACACCTCAATCTTGACTGCAAGATAAAGAGACCAGACAATCCATAAAATAATAATAATACTTAACAATAAATAAATATAACAAATAAAAAATCAGACGGCTACAAAGGACTATAACCACAAATCTATTGAACTATTTCAAATTCAGCACCAATTGGGAGATGATCACTAGGATGATAGTAATTTGGTAGACCACCTTGTACATCTGAGGCTTCAGGCTCTGGTAGTTCGAGGTAGCTGACTGGTTTGATATCCCCTGAAGGAGAAAATAGTATGTAATCTAAAGTTCCAGTAAATCCAGGAGTGCAGTTCGTGAAGTGTGGTTCTCCCTTAGTGCTTGCATATACACTGCACAACGGAATCGGCATATCATCTGAGCTCTCTGGCAGAGTCCCCACTAGCGAGGAACCTGAAATAAGGCACTGATATACCTGAAACAGCAAGAACCAAAACAAATTTACATGAGACACCAATTGCTTTCACTTTCGGCAACGAAGGTATGGAATATGGAAAACAACTCAGAACAATATTTTTCATCAAGAAAATCCAGGTACACCTTGAATAATTGAAAATGAAATTAACACTGAATCCAAAAGTTGAAGTGACTCTACTTGGACACCAAACATCAAAGACCAGACTCCGCTCAACTATCAAGACAACAAGAGAAAGTAGTTTGGGTGTATATCACAATTTGACAAGACTACTGACAAATAGTCTAAACGCATACAAGTTAGACAAACTAGGTACCCTCGTTTGAAAGTTGGATAAGTTAGGACGTCACAATCGCCTATGAATTAGTCTGGAGAGCCAGAAGCCAGACAAACTGTAATATGAATTCTAAACATTGGTTGAGAGTGGGTTGTTGTCTCCTTATATGGTCTTGGAATCATCATCTCATGATTTAGTATTTGGAGTCGACTTTGGCCCAAGATCTAATATGGTAGCATAGCCAGACCCATCTAACATATTTTGTTTCTTAATGTTGGGCTCCTATGGTAGTTATCCACTCTCCAATATGCCCATCCCTAGCACAACGAGGATGTTAGAGTGTCCCAAATTGATTGAGGAATTTCTCTGTTGTCTCCATACTGACTTTGGAGAATCCTCATCTTAAGAGTTAGCTCTTGAGATTGAGTTAGGCTCAAGGTACAATTTTCTTAACAGGAAAAATGATCCCTACTAAAAGAATATGAGGAAATCAAATAAAACAAATGCAGCTTAGATAGAGTCAGTGTTGTTCAATAGCTTGGCCAATAACAATGTGAAAGGACCAAATGTTTCGAAAGGAAAACAAACGGCTAGCTGACCTGATCCCCAGGAGTGGAGTTGAAATCACCGGCAACAACCACAGAAGGCGAGCAATCAAATTTGTCTGATACTAGTAACTTGAATTGAGCTAAGCGTGAAAGCAAGTATCTAGCTTGCGCAAGTTTGACATCGGCCAATTCGGGATCCCTGTAGTATCATCCATATACGTCAACAGTGTATAAAGTTAACAAATTAAAAACCAGTTTCCACAAATCCAAGTAAACGTGCTGCAATACCAAAACAATGGACAATGAGCATACCAGTAAATGTGAGTGTTGGCGACAATGATAAGCTGACAAGGATCCTTCAGCCTGAAGGCAGCCATAATACCCACACAGTCACGTTTTAATCTAATACGAGGATCATTTAGGTCTCCACGATCTGCCTGACTGTTTTTCGAACTGAGATCTGAAAGTGGAATGAGATATATCACAGTTACAAAGGTGATTGGATTATGAAAAGCACCCATTCCCATCAAATTTGCGCATTCAGGAGCAAAGGCGAATTCCTTCCCTATCACCTCACAACACCTTATTCACCTCCCAAAAATGAGATGTGTAAAAAACTTCCCCTTTTAAGTTTCAAATTTCAAGTCATTTAATCTTTGAAAGAGATAATTCTGTTTGACTGAAGTTTCATTCAGAGCCTATCTGAAAATGCACTGTTGCTTTAGATCCAATATTGGTTTTCCATACTGCCGATAGTTCAAGAAATATGATGCAGGGGCGCCTAAGAATGGAAAAGGTTATCCATGCAACAGATACGTAGAATCTTACAATTGCTAGTAACTAGATAATTTGCTTTGGCAACTAGCAAGATCTCCATGCTACGTAATGCACCAGAATTTGCCCATTCCAAAAACCAAATCACACACTATTAGTGCTGGTTTTACCCATGGATGTTTCTTTTACCATGGGCATCTTTCCTCACAAAACCCTCAAATCAAAAATAAATATGAATCTTCCATCACATATTGGCTGTTGCTACTAAACATACTTTAACATATGACCCAACACAAGAGGTTTAAACTATTTCAGACATTATGGAAAGAAGATTAAATAGATGCAATGCCAATCAAGGATTCTGAATAGGATATGAAAGCGTCACTTATATTGCTCTGATAACAAGTTACATGATGCAACAGAGCTTGTTATGGAAGTTTCTATTAGTTAATACAGATTGAGCCGCTACATTAAATTAGAGGCTAACAATGACAGGTCAACTTCCAAGTTCCAACGGTATTCCATTATAGAGTTTCAGAAGCTATTACTATTTCAGCTTTTCAAGACCAGTTCCATTAATAGAAAACTTTTAATTCTAATTGTACAAGAATATTTGGATCTTATCGCAACTAGGCAATTCAAATTATTTCCCCCTCTTTATTATGATATAAAGCCTTAGACATGAAATTTAAACATACATCAACATTTTGAAGGGAAATAGCTATGACTGCAGTACTAAACCACACCACCCAAAAGAAAAAGGACAAAAAGAGATAGCAAGAAGAGGAATCACTTTAATTTGCAATTTCATTCGAGTATGTTGGACAGTTTATTTTCGGAGTTTACATTATAAAGACATGTTTCCCTGGTCTGTATGAGACAAATAGATACCAGAGCATGCTCCAAATCTGTAATAATGACAAACACGAGGTGGGCAAAAGCAAGAGCATACCACCTTTTGACTCTAATTTTTTATTTCCATCAGCAGGTAAATTTGCCTCTTTATCCGTGGAAGCAGTATCATATTGAATTGAGGGTACCAGATCATTGTAGTCTATCTTCTCTTCAATGACCAACTCTGCACTATTAGAATAGCATAGAATTTCAGATAAAATGAGCTTTATAGAAATATTTCATTCTGCCTGAAGAAGTTACAGAAACATATCCATCCAAACCATAAGAACTTCTGATATAGAACTTCCTCAGTCCTTAACTGATGCTACGATATAACTTTAGTATGATAGGGAGTAACTTAAGCTACTGGGGTGGTAGGGGTAAGAGGAAATGACGTGACATAAAAAGTAGTTATATGCAGTATTACTCATATTTTGGCTCCCTTGAAGTTGCCAAGATATAACACCAAAGCTATATTTAAGTGAACATATAACTAATCAGCTTATTTTCGTAGCTAGAAACCAGTGCATGATCATGTCATAGTACTCTCAAAAACAATGCATCTATAAGATGACCAGAAAGTCTCCTCAAATAATACAAATCATATCATTGCTTAGCTTAGCATCTCTTTCAATAATAGAGGTTTAGGGAGAAAGAGAGCTTAGATCACCAATCCTGCTTATAAAAGATCCCGCATCCGTCACGCTTCTGCCCACTTCTTTGGACGTAGATACTTGAATAACCAAAACTCTCTATATTTCTTTTATAGAAGCTATCATATTCATCCAACTCCTGGCACATAAAACAATTGATCAAAAGATAACCTAGAAGAAATTAGAAGTTGTTGTTAGAAGGACAATGGAGGAATAAATGTTACTAAATCTTAATTATCAAACAATTCAAACCTGTAAGCAAAGGAAATCGGTCCCAAGGCTCTTGAGAACTGTAAGGATTGCCTGTGAACGGGCTTTCCACCTGACACAAGCACATAAGATACGTTGATTCCGAAATTTGAGTAAAAGAAAGAAGTTTAAAACTTTGTCTCGGCCAAGCTTATTGAATCATGGTCAACATGACTTCAAGTTACAATGCTTTTAAAGTAAATTTTTACATTAGATGCTCTTCGAAGAGCAAACAAGTAAAATTGACTTAAACAACTATGTATCTTGCAATGACACTAGCTTCGAGAATTACTGAAATCCACTACAAGTCATATGCCCCTGACTCCAAGTCTCGAAGCGTTTTTGGATAGTCTTGAAGGCAGAGGCGAATCAAGGTTTAAGCTAATGGGTTCAACCTTTAAGGTTCTTAGCGTTGAACTCATTGTATTGTTAAAATTATGGGTTCAAATCCACTACTTGTTGCAATTTTAGTGTGTGTTTACGCATAAATTTATTCTCTGCATAAAGTACTGGATTCAAATAAACTCGGTGCAATAACGTTGCATCTGCCACTGCTTGAAGGCCAAGAATATAATAATTTAATGCAACATAGAAAATCATTTTGGAGTATCAACTATTTCCATATTCAAGTCAATTTGGGTCCACTCAAACATGTCATCAATAACATTGCAGTTTCTAAGGGTGAAGAGAAACAACATCCAATAGCCTGTGAATAGGAACTGCAGAAAACGAAAAATTGGATATAGATGACGTACTTCAGCGAAGGCGCTGGGGAGTGTGGAAACAGAGCACTCTTTACATATGCCTACAATCAAAAAATCTCAAAAGCATGAAACATTGGGAAATGGAATCCATACAAGCCAACAGGTTAAATGATTTTAATCTGTAAGAACAACTAAAATTAACTAGCATTTCAGTATACAACTGGTCGAGGTATGAGATAATATCACTTGAATTTCGCAATATAGTCTGAAAAGACAAATCAAAGCACATAACATCAATTGTGTGCATCGATAAAAGTTTTCCCTGCCAGATATGTATGCTCTACACTTTGGTTCAACGACAGGCGAACAGAGGAAGAGGCCTCATGTTCTTTTTTTTTGAAAAAAGAAGGCCTAAATTCTGTTTGTTTGGATCAGATTTCTCTCCCCCGACATTCATTTGTTCGTTTTTCCAAGATGTGCTACGTTCACAAAGTTCGAAAGAATAAACTCATAAGACTAATTTTTTTGATGAATAAATACTCTGTTCACTTGGTTTTCAACATCAAGATAAGCATTTTACAAGTGTATTAGTCATAAGGATGATAAATAATTTAACAAAGCAGCACTTGACTTCCATTACTGAAATATTACTTGCATGTATTTTATAAAAAGAATAAAAGTAAATGAATTGCTTCTAGTAATTACCTGAGCCAAAATGTTATAGGATACAAAACTGAACTTAAAACCTGCAACAAATGACAAACAGTACAACACCAAATCAGATGTATATACAAAAGCATACAAAAACGAAAAAGAATGTTAAAGTAATTTACTTACCATCTGATTTACTTACTGAAGTAATTTCACTCGTTTCAACAGGAATAAATTTTGGAGACAAAGGTCCAGGTGCTGTGTTCATTTTGGTAAAACAAATTGTTCTGCAGATACCAGAAACAAAGAAAAGAAAACTAAAATGAAGTCTTGAATCAAACTTAAAAGGAGATAATACATAAGAACCCACTATATTGGCTCGGCTTACAACTTACACACCGAAACTATGGATTGTTTCTATTACCCCCTGAACTTCCTTTTCCTGTAACTATTACCATCCTAGAGTGCCTAGTGACGTAAAAGTGGTGTCAACTCCTGTGCTGAGCGTGGGAGCAAAAAAAGGAGAAAAGCAGCTTATATGTGGCTTTTTCCTCCAACAACTAGTTCCCACATGGTTCTATACAATGATTATTGGTTCCACCTGCGTATTGTTTTCTTCTTCTTTATTTCTCGCTTTTTTTTGGGATTTAAAATGCTGGTCTGACCGAAAAGAAACAAACTTATTACAGCCCTAACCAGAAAAAATAGATTCCCAAAATTGCATGAGCTAAACGGAAAAAGTCTCAATTTAAAACAAAAAACTGTGTTTAACATTTAAACTGTAGCTACGCTGGAAAAAATGAAATTCCAGCAAGCTTGTTATAGATCTGGCAGGAAAAATATAGGTTCAAAATAGTGCATGAGTTTAAACAGAAAAGTTATTTAATTTGAAACAAAATGTCATGTGTTCAAAATTTAGAACTTCAGCAACGTTGAGAAGAATAGAGTTCCATCCAGGCGTTTTACGTACTTGGCCGGAAAAAAAGTGGTTTTAAAAATGCAGAAGTTTAAAAAGAAAAATATTTATTTTTAAGAAAATGCCATGTGCTTAAAAAATCAACATGGCTGGTGTGATTATCGCTTCCTACCAGATTTTCGTTCAGAGTGGTAATAGATATGAAAAAGGGAAGATCAGACAAGTAATAAAATTATAAAAACACCTATAGTTTAGGTGTGTAGGTTGCAAAAGGAGCCAAGTTTAGAGGATTTAAAATGTCAAATACTTTTGAGAAATGCAATAAGATTTTTTTTTTTTTTGTTAGTAAGAAATGCACTAAAATTATGATTTTATGCTCCATAACAATATGAACTTGTTTTTAGAACTCGCCCTACCATTTGTTTCTTTCTATCAAGGTGCCAACGGGTGGATAGGATTAAATTTGCGTGTGTCAAAATAGATTGAGTCAATATATGGGTCTTATGCAACTCGCCCAAAGTTTAGCGGTGCCAAAATGGATTGTGTCAATTTGGATTAAAAATGCATCATAACCCGCCCAACTCATACCCATTGAAAAAGTGTGTGAAGATGTAGGTAGAGAAATATACACAAAGTTTTCTTATGGATCAATTTGGGCTACATTTTGGCCGGTTTAGAATGAGCTACACCTAAATTGACCTATCAATGAATATAGTCCGCAACCAACACTGTTACTTCTATCTCGTGGATAATAATTAAGAGTACTAAAGGAACAAATATAATTTATGTTTTCCTTTTCTTATTCTTTTAATTTCCCTCCTTAGCAAATAAAATGGGCACTTTATCCCCGTCAGCACAAGCAAGGAATCTACTTTTGAAAGCATAAGCAAAATTATTGATGAAGCCGAAACAAAATATCATCTTGAATTGTTAGCCCACATAGCTTTTGTTCAGTATGCCAAATCATCAATCAGGTGACACCCAATAATGTAATCGAATCATTTGTATACTGTTATCTTGAACTTCAATGAAACTTCATATGTAAGAACAAGGAAGTGAGATGTGAAAAGCTTCAGGGGTGACGCTAAGCACTAATAGTTTAGGAAGCTAACTTGCAAAAGGAGCACAGTTTAGGGGGATTCAAAATGGTCAAATTCTATTGAGAAATGCAATAAGATTTTCTTTTTTTGTTAGTAAGAAATGCACTAAAATGTATGATTTTTGCTCCATAACAATATGAACCTGCTTTGTTGTTTTTAGAACTCGCCCTACCATTTGTTTCTTTCTATCAAGGTGCCAGCGGGTGGGTAGGACTAAATCTGCGTGTGTCAAAATAGATTGAGTCAATATATGGGTCTTACGCAACTCGCCCAAAGTTTAGTAGTGCCAAAATAGATTATGTCAATTTGGATTAAAATGCATCATAAATCAACCCGCCCAAAACATACCCATTGAAAAGTGTGTGAAAATGTAGGTAGAGAAATATACACAAAGTTTTCTTATGGATTAATTTGGCTACAATTTGGCCGGTTTAAAATGAGCTTCACCTAAATTGACCTATCATCGAATATAGTCCGAAACCAACGCTATTACTTTCTATCTCGTGGATAATCACTAAGAGTGCTAAAGGAAGAGATATAATTTTTGTTTTCCTTTTCTTATTCTTTTCGTTTCCCTCCTTAGCAAATAAAATGGACACTTTATTCCCATCAGCAGAGGCAAGGAATCTACTTTTGAAAGCATAAGCAAATTATCAATGTAGCCGAAACAAAATTAGCCCACATAGTTTTGTTCAGTGTGGCAAACCATCAAACAGGTGACACCCAATAATGTATTCAATCATTTGGGCTACAGTTATCTTCAATTTCAGTGAAACTTCATACGTAAGAACAAGGAAGAGAGATGTGTAAAAGATTCAGGGGTGACAGATATAACATACCTGTGATATGGAGAAGATAATGGAAAACGAGGAAGCAAGAAGATTGAGCTTTTCAACATTGGTTTTGTTTTGAAGAGTTTAAGATTTTTAGGAGCCGTTATGGTTTCTTATTTTTCAGTTTAGGTTTCAATGAAGCCCAAATACCGATCCATGTTTATCGCGAGTCCATATCCAGTTTTAAGTGTTTTGGGCTTTTGGGTTCAGAATTTCACGGGGAGGTGCACGGTTAGCCACTAATAACACATGTATTTACTTTTAAGCCACTGTTTAAAATATCTTTAGTCTTTAGCCATTGCTTTAATAAACTTTACCTGCCCGGACAAAAACATCCTTATCCTCATAAAAGTTCAGGACCAAGTGTCCTTAACTTTTGAACTTGCAACTCTAAGTTCAGGACCACCAGTCCTTAAGTTCTGTGCTTGTAACTCTAAGTTAAGGACTTCTCGTCCTTAACTTTTGAGCTTGTAAGTCTAAGTTCAGGACCTATTGTCCTTAACTTTTGAGCTTGTTACTCTAAGTTCAGGACCTATTATCCTTAACTTTTGGGCTTGTTAGTCTAAGTTCAGGACCTATTGTCCTTAACTTTTGAGCTTGTTAGTCTAAGTTCAGCACTTCAGGACCTATTGTCCTTAACTTTTGAACTTGTAACTGTAAGTTCAGGAACTATTGTCCTTAATTTTTGAGCTTGTTAATCTAAGTTCAGGACCAAGTGTCCTTAACTTTTGAACTTGTAATTCTAAGTTCAGGATCAAGTGTCCTTAACTTTTGAATTTGGAACTCGGAGTTCAGGACCAAGTGTCCTTAACTTTTGAACTTGTAACTGTAAGTTTAGGATCCATAAAACCAAAATAAAGGAACAATAAATTTATGTCATATGTTAAGAACTCCAAAATGAAACAACAAAGTGAAACTCGCATGATAAGAACACCATCCACCAGAATATAGGAACAATAAATTTCTTGTGACCAAAGGCCAAGCAGTAGCAAAAATGACAAGAAAATATTTTAAATGATCGCTTATTCGAACTTCCAGCATAAGATGGAATTTGTGTGATTAAGGATGAACTAACAAACATCAGAACTTCAAAACTCGTATAGAAACCTAAGATAAATGAGAACCATACAGCAAAACAGATTGTACTGAGAAGTCATAAGCGTAAAGAATAATGGTTAGAAGAAAGGGTAACACCGTCTTTTCTTATTAATTTTAGTAGACTAGTGGCTACTTTTGCTCAGCATTAAAACTGCTGGATAAAAAGTAAATACCACTTTAAAAAGTGGCTACCCCACGTAATTTTTACGAATTTCACGTAAAAATAGCACGGGCTACCTAGTTTTCAGACTGGTCATTCAAAAATAGCCAACATTTGAAAGTTATTGAAAAATAGCCACTATTTTGCTGCAACACGGAAAGTTCCAGCATAATATACTGGAGATCGGTGCACTTGTGTATAAACTTCCAGCATATTATGCTGGAACTCCAACACGCGGAAAGTTCCAGTATAATATACTCGAGATTGGAGCACCGGTGCTCCAATCTCTAGTATATTATGCTGGACCGGTATATTATACTAGAACTCCAGTATATTATACTGGAGTTCCATCATAAGTTTACTGGAACTCCAGTGTAATATATTGGAATACCAGTATAATATTTTTCCGTATTTTGAACATTTTTTTCATTCTGATTAATTTTTTTACATAAAAAGTGGCTAAATTTTGACTACTTTTGAAACTGTGACTATTTCTGAATGACCACTTGTAAATCTGGCTATTTTTGAATTTCTTCCAAATTTATCTTGGCCTTTTTGCCGCGGCCCAAAAATATTTACACAAATGTCTCCTTTGCCCATTGTTTAAATTTTTAGTAGTGCAAATATAGCCCTTGGTATACCCTTTTTGGACAATATTGGACTCCGATCTAATGTTTGCTCATATAATTTTTAGTTATACATAAATTATATATATATATATATATATGTATATATTATAAACTGAAGAGTTGGTTTGATGAGGGAGAGGTTCGAATTGCCATGCCAAAATCCAGTTCTATAATTTACTTTAAAAGGATCCTAACATACATTTTGGAAATTGAATAAACATAAGCGGAACCTTCAGGCTACCTAATGCAAACATAATTTGGGTTCCACTCTTTAACTTTGGGCCTATTTGGTTGGTATAACTTCAATTTTCTTTCTGATTAGATCTTTTATTAGTCACAACTAGTGTTTGGGTTTTTAATAAGAAAATTAAATTTTAGAGCTAATAAACAGATGAACTTCAAAAGAATTGGTTGTTGAATCAAAATTTCTTTAAAAAGCACATCAGAAATGATTCCAAACTAAACAAGTTCCGAAAACCTGCTACTTCGTTTCTCCTATTTGAATTTACTTAACTTTTTTTGTTTTCCTTTTTATGCAGACCTAATTATAACCCACAAGGAGTTATTAGTTGGGATGACAAGGTACCTCTATCCTTAATCAAAGATCTCGTATGCGAGCTTTGTGTACATAGAGACAAAAGGGAGAGCCTTTACTCTTTTATTAAGTCTTTCACTACAAATTCAGATTAGCCGGATTAGTGTGCTTTAAATGTGGAATGTTTAAAGGAAAACACTAGCTTTAGACATTGGTTCTATTTACTCTGTCTCTCCTATAGCTTACCAGAAAACAAATCAAACTACTTGAATATATTAATGTCTGGCAGGCAGTAAGTCGCATCAAACCAACTGCGAGCACCTTTACAAGGAATATTAATCAATTTATTCAAGCTTATCAAATTTACCGAATAACCATATCTTATCATATGGTATATACTAGGAAAAAGATTAAGGTGACACTTGGAATAATTACTTTTTGTTATATCATATCTATAGCGTTTTCTCCTCTTTCCCTCAGCCAAAAGAAACAAAGAAATAAATTAGTAAGTAAGCAAAATAGGTGAGAATAAAATTGAATAAATATCTTTTCGAGAAATAGAAGTTTTGATAATGTGCCAATAAATCGAACAAGACTTTTCAACTTACGTAATCAAAAGAATCAAGTAAATATAGCCTGAAAGTGAAAGCATGATTAATAGTCCCATTTTGCAAAGTGAAATCCACATCAACCAAACAATTCGATTGACTCTATTAAGTTGCGTAAACAATGCAATTGATAGAGAAATCATTCTCACCATGAGAATGGACAACGACACTATTGCCTCCAACCGAAAAAAAATTTCTCAATCAAGATATTAAGTGAACTATTTATGGTGGTCCACTTATCCAGGGCTGCTTTCTCGATTGCTATTAACATTTCCAACTCAATTTTATATGACGTCTCATCTAGATTTAACTATAGTGAATCATTGTTTTAGTTTATCTTTTGTTAGTAACGTAGACGAAACTATGACCAAAATTATTAGCATTTCTCAGTGTAGTTTACTTGACAGGAAGATATCCCTACTAGTATACATGTTAGAGTTCTAGCCAGTACATCCATCATATGATGCCCACAAGTGTCTTTATGGCAATGCAAACATAACACTCACTACTCCCTTCATTATATTTTGCCATGTTGCCCCTAAGATTACACGTCTAAGATACAAATAGTAAATCGAGATATCCCTTCTATGATAAATTTGAACCTTCCATCTATTTTTGTGCCATTAGTAGGCTTAGTCTTTCCGTCAATTGCAATGGCTTCTTTTCTTCATGTTCAAAAAAATAAGATTGTTTACGTCTGATGGGACCAGAGCCCTTGCTTACATATTGAATCCTAATAAATCTCACAAGTAAACCCCACTTATATACCGTTGTTATTATACACTACTTATATGCTAGAGGGAGTGAATAGTATATCGACCGATTAAAATTTTCTATCATAATTTTATGTTTTCCTCATAATCTGGTCCTTAAACGGTTCTTGTAGTTCCTACGACTAATAAATGCAAAAAGAAGACATAAATTTTACGTAAAAAATCTCCTTTCACAAGGGAGTAAAATTACGACCTAACTCTGGGATTTTCCTCACAAATTTTACTAACAATAACGAGCAGTATCAAATTACAAAACACTTTTATAACCTAAGAGACTAAATCTAGTCACTCAACACCCTACAATCAAATTGATCGTAGCTACTCACTCCAAACTAATTTCTCAGTCTAGAACAAAGATTGTCACTTAAGAGTTCTTACAAATAGCTTGTAATACAAGCAGAGCAAACACCTATCACAAAATCAAGACAAATGAATAAACTTGAATCAATCTCTGGAACTATGTTCTTCAATTTATTTTGCTCTTGGTTCTCGAAAGCTGCTGCTCACAAGAAGAATGTCTCAGATGTGTGTGTAGGTGCACAACCTCTGCAAAAACAAAGTCGTACTATATATATATATATATATATATATATATATATATATGTGTGTGTGTGTGTGTGTGTGTGTGTGTGTGTGTGTGTATGTGTGTGCGCGCACAAGCTACGGCCTCAGGCCCAAGTATACGTATACATAACTACGGCCTCAGGCAAAAAAATGCATAAAGCATAAACTATGGCCTCAGGCCCAAGTATGCATAAAGCATATAAACTACGGCGTCAGGCTCAAATACAAGTGTTCAACATTCAGGAATTTAAAAATCATAAATTGAGAATCATACTACAATACATGATAGTGAAATACTGAATCACATTGAGTTAAATGATACTGGAATACTGGATCATACTGGGTTACATAATACAGGAATACTGAATGGGACTAGACTGAGACATGTGTTCTTGATCTGATTATGAATACTGAAATTTCAACTGTATATGGCATACTGAGTAATCTATACTAAGACTCGGGGGCATCAAACCCGAGTCTATATTGAATACGCGCTGAGCTCACAACGTTCAGAATGAAAGTCATGAGCGAGTTATAAAAATAGAGAATAGAAGCTCTACAACTATTCAAGGAACTAGGCTTAACTATATTTCTGAGGCAATTAGTAACATCATAAAAGAAACGTAGTGTAGGGAGAATCATTAACACTCCCAAACATAGAGAGTTAGCCTCACATACCTCAATTTCGCCCCTTAGTGCTACTACAATGATCCACAATACTAAGAACCTTCAATCTACAATAGCAATATCCAATGGAACCAATATT